TACCTTCCTGTACAAAACATACTAAAATTTTGTTGACGTTATTTGTTGCGTTGTACTTTAGGATGTTTTTGGAGCATACATTTGGCAACACAGTGGAAGTTTTCGAGTTTGACTTCATTGCCTATTTGATTTATGGTTCACCCACCCGCTGATTGCGCTGCGTTGTTTATTTTTCATTCTTATCTTTACTGTTTGCCTTTCATCCATTGTTAAATGGGTTGGTTTCTTGAAATTTTTTGGATCGTGCCTTATTGAATAGATTTCTTTAAATGCGTAAATGCGTGAAATTCTACCAGAAATGTCGTGTTTGTTGTGACAAGCTATGCATTTCCTCTCAAATACAATTGTGTAGGTAAATGGAACAAGAGCCTAATCTAATTTATCTGTCTGTTACTTCTTCAATATCGATTTTTAGAAGCCTTTGTTCCGTAGATGTTATAAAACAAACCCAAAAATAAAAACGTATGGTCCCAATCTAATTGAATATTATTACCATGTGGAAGTGCTGGTGCGAAGGACTATAATCAAACGTAATCAACTTTTTTACGCGACGGTTGTAATGTAATGTGGGTGAAAAAAACCGAATAAAAGTCCGTAATAAATAAGTTTGAGGTTTAATGATGAAAGAAGGACGGATGCGACAATATACTTTTGAATGACAGTTGGGTTTAGACACGCAATACGATCATCAAGTTTCGGTGACATTTGTGAGACTTTTTTACACCTTATGTCATTACCAGACGTGCAATTACAAGGTGGATACCAACAGCTATTATGTTGTATTTTTATTGAGAAGCATTATCGATTATGATGTGAAACGCAAGTTAAAAATACTCCACTGGAAAACATAAAATCAGAGGTCATCTCTTGAAACAGTTATTTGAAACGATGTGATCTTTTGTGTGGTAGGTACATCTGCGAAATCTTCTGGGGCGTATCCGAGGTGATAAAATTGTCTTGGGGAGTGACAGGGGTTGGTAACAATGCGAAAAATATCGCTACGTAATTGAAAAGGCAGTGCTACGTCCACCTTGACCATAAATTGCCGTTGCGAGAAAATCCCTTGGAATCTCTAAAAGCGAAAAACCAATTTGGCAAAGGTTTAGCGGAATCAATGAACAGTGTGTATGGAGGAAGGGAAGAGATTGGAATTAGATGGTGTTTCCGGATCGCAAGTATCTCCGGAAATGTGTCCCTAATTCTCCACTTAATTACCCGGGGTTCGTGTAAATCAAATCGCGCCGGAGGGTCCTAATCGCCCCAAAAATTACAAAGTATCTCTTTCAATTTACTTTGATCCAACCCTAATATCATAATCTTTACCTAATTTATTTCATGGCGAGATTGCGACTTTCCAAAAGACTCTCACGATTTAGTTGACATGAGGTAGCCTCGACTCTGTTTGTTTTGCGGGACAATAATTCACATTGTGGCGTGTAGGTCGCTGATTATACGGATACGTAACAACTACAAGCGAAACAGTATGGGAGGACAGATGTACCATTCAGGGGACAATAGCGGTAACGAGGTATCTCGACGAAATGCGATTTTTGCCTTATAAAACCGTTCCTGTTACATCATTATTCATTCACAATACAATCGTGTCTAAGTGGAAATTGTTGCATTGTCAACAGATTTTATTTATATCAGCACAGAAGGCAAAACGCCCACCACATATGAAAAAAAAATCAGTGATAAATGTGCGTATTTGCAAATTTTTTATTTCGTCCTTTCACCTTTATATAAACCCAGTTTGACCTTAAGATTACTTAAAAGCTATTTGGCAGCTTATGTTTTTAAGAGATAGTCAAAAAAGGCCTGCATGCTAGTGCTAGTGCATGGTAGGCATAAAAAATTAAACATCATGTAACAGGTAGCGCTTTATAGCGCCAAAAACTCTATCGTAGAAATTAAGGACTTGTAAGTAGAGAACAGGAGATAGTCAAGATTCTGCAATGTAACTGCTCGTATCATCGCTGAAAGGATTTAGAGGCGGGACTATAATTCACGCGCCTTTGTACAGCCAACCGCATTACCACATTGCAAATGTACAATGTTTCTTTTTACATTATTTACTGTATTAAATTAATAATACTATTAATGTAGAATAAATTTTTATCTATTTTGAGTTCATAATGACTTCATTATAACACCGCTTTTGGTGCTGTAATGAGATACTTTATCCCACCCAAAATTTTGATTTTATAGGATGGCTATACTTTATACAGCATAATATTTTGCATATTGGTTTTAATATTTTTATGGTTTTTCTAGTACTTACGAGACTTTTCTGGCAATAAATTTTGTTTAACACCAAAGAAAATCCTTTTTTTTTCTTCTTTGACATTAACAGCAGCTTATTGTAAATAAGTAAATTAAGGACGGCATGGCGAATCGATTTTGACATTAACTGTCAAACCAATGACTGTGATACCAACTATCTAAAGTAAAATTCGACCAAATTAAATTTAGGGTATAAAATTAATTTTTTTTATAGAATTTTTTCAAAATAGATAAAATAGCATATAGAACTCATGTCATAAGACCTTTTGTCGCACTCGCCTTTTTTGTTGAGCGTTAAATTTCCTACAAAAACATATCATACTCATTTGACAATAACTATTTTCCAATGAGTTACAAAATTTAAACTTTGATCTTGAATATCTTTTAAATGGTTATAGTAATCGTTTAAACACATTAGTCCTTTTTTATAGAGCATAAAATTTCCTGCAAAAATATGTATAAAGATTTGATTTAACAATTGAATTATAAAGAAAGGACTAAGGAAAAAATGGAAAACTGTAATGAGAAAGATCTAGGTGAGCACTTAAAGGTGTCTAAGAACCAATTTTTCAGTGTCGGAAGTAAAAAAAATATTTGTTTTTCATCCAGGTCCATGGTTCGGTTCTGGGCAGTATACATACTTTTTATTTTTACAATATTCTTGAAAGAGAAAAGTTGATTGAAGTTTCAAAATCAATTTAAAAAACAAAGTGCCTGAATCCGCCACAAGGTTCCTTACTGGGACCAACAAATTTTTTTAACTACTTAAATAATTGCTAAAGCTTACAGCTCTTTGTATTCTCAAGAAATTTAATGATTGAAACACAAAATTCTCTAAAAATATCTTACTGAAAAAATCGTTATCTTACAAGATTTGTTGTTCCAATTAGCTTAATTCGTGTTTGGTAATTTTGAAGCTAAAGCGGACAATTACCGATGTTAAATTGGGAAAATGGCAGCGTATACGCTGCCCTGTTATTATATCGGCCGAACTGGCGAAAATAACGCATAACCACTGGTAATGTTAAAATTATCGATGAAAGTCATACGCTAGTGCACCTGTCACTGCCAAATCGCACCATGAGACAAAATCAGTGTTAAAATCATTAATTAATATATGCTAAGCCACAGGCATTTATATCTTATTTAAGCTCTACAAAAATCTTAAGAAATGGTGGTAAAACCTTCTGAAAAAGTTCCTAAACATTGCAATACAAACATTTTCCAACTAAAAATATTTTTTCTGCTACAGTGCGGAGTCGATCGGTTATCGAAACTGTCAACTGTTCGCCCATCCCCGCGTATTATGCATTAAATCACCGGCTCGCCGATACTGGCCGCTTTTAACTAATTAAACAGGCTTAAACCGTGTTATTTATACCCCTAACGCTCATTATTATTTATTTATGCCGGTGAAAATGAAAAATCCCTCCCCCGTGCGCCGCTAGAATTTTTATTGTCAAAATATTGTCGAACCAGTATGGTGTGGCTCAGGGTTACATACGGTGCACATAAATGATTAATTGCTATTTAAAAACGTTAAAAGGGTAATCAACTTTAAAGTAAAGTAATAAAAAATTGATATCTGGAAATTTTATGGTGTACAATCGTACCTAATGCATTATGTACTTAAGTTTTTTCCATGTTTTATTATTTGAGATAAAACTTAGAGATACGTAAGTGAAGCCATTGTTTTACATACATAGGATGACTACACAAAATTGTAATTATATACACACAAATATCATTCTAGTTAGCGATGTTAAATTACCTAAATCATAATGTATAAAAAGTAAGATATAAATCTTTGTAAGTAAGTAATACAGTTCTTTATTTTTATTACCACAGGAGAGCTTATAAAAAAGGTATGACGTATGTGACAAGTGTCAGATTAAAATCTTGGTATAAAAACGCAGGTGGCAGGACTTTTTATAAAAGTGGCCAATTTGATTTCTTTTTGATATAAAAGAATCTCAATTTTGTTAAACAAAGCATGCACTGGCATTAAATTTTAAATCAATAACTACATGGTTTTATCTAGTGGGTAATTGTATATTATTTGTCCAACAAAGCTTAAAGAGAAAATTAGACAATGCAAGAGTTGTGCTTGAATATTTATATTTTCACAGAAATACAAAATTACATAGCATAGTTGAAAAATGCCTTTTGATGTGATGATTGCCGGTCATAACACCAACAATTATCGTCAAGAGTTAACATGGAAAAAACTTTTTTTACAAGAACCAAGTTGTTTAATTAGTAAAATTGATGTAACGCAATTACTTTAACATAATGGACCCGATGTACCACTTTAATTCGAAATCAAAAGTCAATTGCAATACCCTTAGGCATTCTCAAACACTACGAGGGCGTTGTCCCCTCTATAAGGGAATATACACCGTGTAATACACGGAAAATTGGCTTGTAACATCAAAATACTCGACAAGGGGTGGCACTACACTTATTGATTTCAAATTGATATTAGTCCCCAGTCTGTTAAAATAAAACTAACCCTATCGCATGTTCCTAGATGGAAATAATATTATATAAAATTTACATTTGTATTTGTTGTGCTTTGAGGTACCTCAAGGTTCATACCTTAGCCCCACTAGATTGCATTACTACATAAATGATTGTGAAGATATGAGATTTGTAAAAGGAACTTAATTTAGAATGTTTCAACCAATTGACAAAGATTTAGACTGTTCTGGACTTACCTTCCAGTCTTGGTGATGATCATCTCCGTGCCCAAATCGTGAAACTTGTCCCACAAATCTTTGGTCTCCAGATGGCACTCCACGTTCAGCAATTCATCGCAGTTGCAGAGTATCTTCGTTTTGCTCGCTTTTTCCGCGATAATGTCGGGCGATTCGCGATCGATATCGGGAGTTTCCGAGCCGCACTCGGACATCGGCGGCGATCGGCTCACCTTCGGTACTTTCGGTCGGGCCGATTCGCTGTCCGAACATTCTTCGACGTCGACTTCGACGTCATCGTCTTCCAGAAGGGGTACGTCTTCGATTTCTGGGGAGCTTAGCCGCGACAAAGAACCTAAGACAGAAAAAGACTTAACATGTGATATTTTATACCAAAATCAAAAAACACTGCGATTTGTAAAATAGGTAATGTTCATATTATAACAGTCTTTAACAGGCTTTATATTTGGATAACGCTTATCGAAAAGGAACCAAGCGTCAAATAATTTTTATGGGCTTAGTAAAATTATTTGTAAAATTACTTATTTTAAATAATGCTCAAAAAGTTGATCATTATTTGGAACTTTTCTCAAAAGGATTGAGAGGGTTCCCAAATAATTTTTAATTTTTTGTGCAGCATTAAAATTGAGTTATTTTGCAAATAATTTTGTTTTTGGAGCTTGGTATCTTTTCGATAAAAGTTATTCATTTGTACCCAGTTTAAACGCAAAATTATTATACACCGCCGTACAATAATGAAACAAAATTGAAATTACATGGGAAGAGTGGTTTCATCTATCGCATTTACCTCAAAATCTGTGTAAATGATAATGTTTAAACGTTAACATTATCTACTTGAAAAAATATCGCAAACTTAAGAATTCCAAGTAAGTACTGAACTATTAAACGCTTGAAACAAAGTATATAGGCTGAGAAAGTATAATAACTGCCTCGGTAGCGTATACTGAGTTTAGCTATACGCCTGTTAGATAATTTTCTACTATATTAAGTGACATTGTAAGACATTTAGTATTTGCCGTCGCAAAATAGGTTGTTGTTACGTTACAATATTTTACCACAAATTATTGGTTGATTTAATAACTTTTGTTTTTAACTTTTATTATACTTATTAAGAACAATTAATGTTAATCATAAATTAAAGTAAATTGATTAATAAATTGCGGAGATTTGTCAATAATTAGATATATCAGTTTTGAAGAAATAAAATTATGAAAGGTGTTTGAAGATAGGTATAAAAATAGTCAACTATCTGTTTATACCAAATATTTTAGACAATTTTTAAAAGAATCCGTTTGTGAGGACGATTTTTTTTTCAATTTTACAATGATTTAAAAGTATGTACATCTTAGGTTGCGTCCAATTTGAGAAAAACTTTATGATTCAAAAAAGTAAATCGAAAGCTTTAGGTACAGTTGGTTTCCCGGTAGAAAAATTAGATTTATTGCGAAGGATGATAAACACCTTTAACACTATTATAGTGATATCCTTGCTTATTTGTGATATTTAGGCAAAATTTGAGATTGTAAGATGGACATTTTTGACTTACCGTCTCTGCTGTGATTTCTTGGTGAAACCATGACATCACTTGCCGGCGGTGATGCACCTCTGGCCATAATCGCGGCGATAGAAAAGTCAGTGGCTCTAGTGGCCTTCACGGTGGGCACTAGCAGGCCAGCGGGAGCACTGTCTTCTGGCATAGCACCAAGCAACATATTAACACGTCAATAAAACCACACAAGTCAAGAACAACGCACTTTGAACACACTCAATAGTCTTGTTAGTTGTTAGTCACTAGTTTCATGTCCAGTACGAAGGGTAAACGCAAGCAGACTGAGTAGTGACCGAGTCGACTAGCTCGTCCATGGAGTGGAGAGGGGAAATGGGGGCGTGGCCGCGGAGTTGGGTGGGGTTTGCTTGGAGGCGGGGCCGAAGGTTTTGTGTGTGGTCTCGATTGAGGTTCGCGTGACTCAAGCAATCAATCAGAGTTGCGCGGTTTCGGTGGCGACATGCTTTGTAGACAGCCACTTGATATCGTCGGGTTCCCCCCGAGCTCCCGGGGGCCACCCACCGGTCATCGGGGCATTTCTCGATGCTATGCGATGAGAAAACCCGGCCATGGCTGCCCCCGATATCCTGCTGCCTGCTACACGGACAGCGATATTATCCTTCTTGATGGTCGGCCAATATTATCGTTTTGGAGTTTTATTGGCGCAGATCTGGACGAAATTGATTATCTTTGAGAGGGATGAAATTTTGATTTGTAAACTTGTTATTTTTTATACAAATTAGATAAATAGTTTTGTTTTTAATCATGGAGAATCGTTTAAATATATTAAGAACAATAGGACACCCAGAACAGATCCTTGGTGTACACTTTTTATTGTCGATTTACAACGATATGATGCAAACATTGAATATTGAAAATAAAAGTACACAGAAATGGTTCTACGCCATCCATTTATAAATTTTTTAAACTAAGTTTGAATGCTTATCTAAAACTTTTTATTTATATTTTGTTTCTCCCATAATTTTTGTTTTTGCTAAGAATTTTTTCTATATATTTTTTTTTAATTTTTAAGATTTTTAATAATTTATTTTAATAATAATACGTACTTATCTATCCAATTGTGTAATTTTTTTAATAAATAATAATTTTTAAAAATGTACCTACCTACTTATTTTTTTTACAATATAATTGATAATTTAAAATGAAAATTTAAAAATTTTAGATACAGTTGGATTTATTGTAGATAAAATAAACTTATCATGAAGGACGATGAACACCTTTACTAATATTTTTATGATATTCTTACATACATACATATAATTCTTAAAGGAAAATTGATAAATACTAGTTTTGATTTTTTTTCTGTATTTTGATAAAATTATACGAGTTTTATTAAAAAAAGTTTCCAAATCATATAAATGATAATCCATATGGACAAAAGTATGGCTTTATATATAAATATATAGATATATGTATCTATGATGATAAATATATATAGATATACCCCGTGATATTTAATAATATCTACACTTTTATTGTGTTTTGATCTTTCATAATTAAGTAGATATTAGCTCAGGTTTCAGATTTTTAACCGCAATTAATTATTTTTTACAATGTTTTAAAAGTCTAAAACGGTTCTAGGTTATATGTTTTCAAATATCTGAGGAAGTAAAAACATACTAAAAATATCAGTTCACTAAGTAAATTAAACACATCCAAAGCAATCGAATCAAATATAAAAATATTATTAAAAATTTAAAGGAATAATTTTTATAACCATTTATGTAGGTGTTACAAAAATTGATTCTATCCTCCGTAAATCTGTTTTTTCTTTAAATTTTATGCAACGGATGGCGCTTTAATCATTTTAAATAAGCAAAAACCTCTGTTTACGACATTATAGATGCATGTGATTCATGCAGATGAGAGTGTTGCTGTTTTATAATTCAAAAGTTTAAGTTCATTAATTTGCTATTTAAAAACCTATCCACCGTGAAGTGTAATATCTCAGTATGTAGGTTTTTTTTATAAATATTTTATGCATGTACAATTGTATTTTTTAAAAATAATAAGGTGTCAAAAGATACAATAACTTATTTCAAATATACAAAGGGATGTTTAAAAAAACGAAATCCTAACCTCGGTGAAGCTATCTTCCGTGAAGCTCTAATATTCAAAATGTATGATTTCTTAAAATTCTTGCCTTAGTGCAGAACCACTTATGTTATGTTACTCTAGACCTGGTGGCTTCCCAAAAACCCCATTCTAGACTAACAGTGAAACAACCAAAAATAAAAAATAACCATTTTTACTTGGGGGACATCTCAACACCCATATATAAATGAAGTGTGCCTTAAAAAAATTAATTTAAGCAAAACTTAATGATTTTAAAAGAAAACTCAATAATTGTAGATACAGTTGGCTTTCTTCTAGTAAAAATATACTAATCATGAAGGAAGCTGAACACCTTTAATATTATTTTTGAGATATCCTTGCATAATTCTTAAAATAAAGTTTATAAATACGAATTTTATTAAAAAAAATCTCTTAATAATATAATTTTGGCTTTATATCCATATAATGTGCCGTATTACGTATAAGCAAAACTGGATTATTTAAAAAGGAAACTCGAAAATAATAGATACAGATTGCTTTCTAGTAGAAAAAATAGACTTATTATAAAGGAAGAGTAACACCTTTAATATTAGTTTTGTGATATGGTAGCCTTATCCTTGTAATAATGCATTTTTCTTTTTTATGACAAAATCATGTTTTTTTAAGCCAATTTTTTAAACTACTAATTGGAAAAAACAATAAATTAAGTATACCTACATCATCATATTTTGTCCTTGAAAAAACTGAAATGGCAAAAAATAGCTGCTAATATGCGATACAAAACGACCTGTAACAATAACACAAATGCATTGGAAAACTAATTAAACTTATATTACGAATGCGACTGAATACCGTTGATAATAATCATTAGGACCATTTAACCATTAACATTAACTGGTTGTTAACATATTTGCATTTTTAAGACTTTATTTATATTTTTTAATAATTATACCTGCATTACTTACAAATGTACATTATGCTAATGATAGTTTGTAGTTTCTGTATAAGGCAAAATATTTTTTCCGTCATATGCAAAGTAAAGATAAAGTTATAATTCAAAAAAAATACAGTAATAAAAGACAACATAAATAAAATGTAAGACAATTTAAGCAGGAAGCTGGCGTTTTGTGTTTAAAAACTAAAGATTAATAACCATATAGATTTTGATTAATACCGCCCGTGGCTGGGATAAATTTTATTTATAATATCCGTTACAAGTAAAAGCTGTGACGTTACTTATTTTAATAATTGTGCTGTTAATTATAGTGAAATTTATTTCATAATAAATTTTAATGGACAGCTAAAAGCAATGTTATGTTACACGTGGATCATAAAATTTGTGTTGAGCAAAAATGGCAATATATTTAAGTAAAATATTTGTAGATCCTACCCTAAAATACGGTTTATATTATTAATATTAATTTTGATGAATACAGAAAAACAACGAAAAAATATCATAAAAAAAGAGTCATCGGGAAACAAACAAAAAAATGTTCAAAAATAAATATGCAAAAAGGGAGAGTAAAGATACATGTGGAACAATTTCACAACCATCTACGTCTTTTTCGAAAAACTGATATAGAAGTGTGATCTTGGTTTATGTAAGATATTGGAATGAAGCTCTACTTGAAATTAGAACTTCCTATAATGATATTCAGATATTATTCTAAAAGTATTATGAAAAAAAATACATAAGTGGAGTCCCGAAACTACCACCTCATCCGATTTTCTAAAAATTTCGTAAAAGTTTTATAAGATGAGAGTTTTTAATGATACTGTTAAACGAGGAATGAGTCTTATAAAAAAATACAACCAGTTACTGACCAATGACAAAGAACTTATCTAAACCTACCTAAATCATCATAATATTAATAACTTATTATCTTAGAATGTTTAATATTATGATACATAGATTTAATCAAATTGTACTTAACAAAAATCATATAATTTTGTTAGTACAGAAAAAGAAATCGCTTCATCCTATGCATTTTGCAAACATATTTTTAAAGGTCTTTATTTTCCTTCATAATAAGTCTATTTGTTCTACCAAAAACTCAATCGTACTTAAAATGTCCGAGTTTTCTATTTGAATATCAAGTTTTGCTTAGATCATCTTTAATATGACACATTCTAAGATAATAAACAATAATGTATATAATACTAGATTTTTTAAACTGGCTAAAAATCATTAAAAAACTAAATAGTTACCTAACTACTAAACTAGGAATTGTATAATATAATTATTATTATAATAGACCATCAATTATATCAAATATTTATTAAATCATATAAAATGGTGAAAAATCATGTTTCCTGATAAAAAAGATTATTATTTTTGAAATAGATATCTTTAAATAATAATAATAATAATAATAATAATAATAATAATAATAATAATAAGAGTTTATTTGCAAAACGTGTACATTATTTTACATTATATAATATGTATACAATTTCAAGTTCCAGGCAAAAGAAAAAAAAATATATAATAATTAAAGTTAAATTTAAGAACAAAATATGAAGAAAAAAATTCTAATCCTAATACTAAGATTGGTTGTCAAGTAGTACTTGCACAAAATCAAAACAAAATTCATAAGTCTATTTATTTTACCATTAACTTAACTCAGTTAAGTTAACTGTACCTAAAATTTTCAAGTTTTCATTGTGAATATCAAGTTTTGCTTAGATCATCTTTAATATAACACATTCTAAAATATTAAACAATAATGTATTACTAAATAAAATGTCTTGCTTAAATCATCTTTAATCAAACACATTCTAATATATTAAACATAATGTTTTATTTAATAAAATGTCTTTCTTACTAAATTATTTTAAACTGGCCAAAAATCATTAAAAAAACAAGTAGTTTCCTAAATTGTATAATATAATAACAGACCATCAATTATATAAAATATTTATTAAACCATAGAAAATAGTAAACAATTATGTTTTCTGGTAAAAAAAAACGTTACCACCTTTAAAAAGATATCTTTGAATCAAAGAAGATAATAAGTCTATTTATTTTACCAGAAACTTAACTGTACCTAAAACTTTTGAGTTTTCTTTTTGATTATCAAGTTTTGCAGATCATGATGCATCTTTAATCAAACACATTTTAAGATATTAAAGAATGATGTATTACTAAATAAAATGTTTTTCAATTATATCAAATATTTATAAATCATAGA